TATAAGTAGATAGCGTGAAATCCAGATATCTGGAGTTTCAGGATATGAAGGTTTCTTTTAAGCTGCGATCTCCTCCCCAGCAGGGATGTTGATGCATGCGACCCTTTGGTTCAAATTTCCTTCCTTGATAAGCTACTTGTTAGTAGATGGAAGTAGCCTACAAAATCTCTGTCATATTTCCTTCTATCAATCATTAGCTTGGCTGTCTTCATTCCAACCAATGAGTCGATGAACTCACCGCTTTACGGGAATATAAGGAAAACTGTCAGGTGTCATTAGCTATCTTCAACGTCCTCGTGTCTTCAGCTTACTGTACAGAACTCACGACACCTGCGCACTCTATCGCCGATTTCAAGTCGGTTCTCAATGTTATTGTTCCCCTGACAGATGGGCACGACAGCTTGCTGTCTAATGCGAAAAGCTTGAATTGTAGTGCAAAGACTGCACTTGATTGCATTCAACTCATTTATAAAGAATATTTTATAGCTGCGGTTCATTTTATTAGGATGCATAATATTCAGAGTATACAATGAGACGTGCTCGCATTTAAAGCAAGTAAAGGTGACAGTTTGAGCGAAGAGATCTGTGACGTTGTAAGTGTTTCTTTTTGCGCTTCAGTATGATATTTGTACCATTAGACACCATCAGTCCAAAGGCGAAGCCTTGCGATTTCACAATTTTACAGTAGTCATGGCTGATATATTAGAGGTAAACATACTGTTATTAGCCTGCAAAAAGCAGAGATTCCAGAGATACAATTAGTGCAAAAATCATAAAACGCACCACCTTCCTTCGCTGGCACCCCAATAATGTCTTCAATCTTACTTGAATGTCATAATTGAGAAATATACATGTCCATGGCTGAACACAAGAGAAAAACGCATTCATGAGCGGATACAGTAGCTTCCATTGATTCATAAAGCCATCCTATTGAGGCAAACTTTTATTCCATTGCGACAAAAAAGTGAAACGCCTACTCACCGCTCCTGTTTGTATGAGAATATAGTTGACGACGTTGTAAATGAAGGCTAATGAGAATGCTATCATCAATCCGGCAACTTGAACGGTTAACCGTACCTCATTTTTTCGTGCTCTTAAAATAAAATATTCTAAATGCGCTAATGTCATAAGTTCAACAAAAGTGCAAATAAATGCAACAGATAAGTGCAGATTGATGAAGATCAACAAATAAATGCAACTACACCTTCAGTTTCAATTTATGATTGAGCTGCGGTCACTATATCACTTACGCTAATCCAGCGTTCATCAACTCTATAAGTTTACTGTCGATACATTCGTAACTCGACTCTCTTACAAGTTTGTTCAGACCGCATTTTTTAGCCACTGTTCCTAATTCAATATGTTCTCGCACAACGGGTGGTTCCACACATGCCGATCGCTTGAACAAGGTACTAGTTGTGAAGCGCAGCGTACGGCGTGAGATCTCACGCATTAATAGTCAATTGGGTTTTTTGTACATCTTTTGT